CAGGCAGGAGCTGAAGGCCTCGCAAGAGGCGGAAAAATACCTTAGCCAGGTGGGGGGCATTGATCATTAATTACATTCGAGCAGAAGTCCTCGTTGGTTCAAGACGATAGCTAATTTAGATACAAATATGAATGTTGCAAACTTTGCCGTGACCTGCTTGCGCAGGCGGGTAAACGGGACAGCGCAGCGGTTGTTGGACAGGCAATCACGACATCGAAGAGGTCGCTTATGGAGGCGGAGGCAGAGCGTCGCCTTTTCAATGCCCAGGCAGTGCATGAGACCAATGCCTGCATATCCGAGGTGACCGCTGCTGGACTGTACATGGAGCTGGCCAACCTAACTGTGAAACTGCTGCGGCATATGGATGAGTTGGACCAGCACCAGGAGGAGCATGAACAGCTTCAAATAGACTTCGAGCTGGCTCAGCGCAACCAGCAGGCTTTGAGCGCCCTACTGCAGCACAGGCGTGGGGAGATGCAGAATTTGACTGGGCAAGTTGAGGCACACAAGGTGGAGAGCCAAATGCTGTGGAAGGTGCGTATAGCTTGCAGGGCAATGGCTAGGGGCCGTTCCCGGGAGGTATGATTGCCCGGTCACCAGGTATGCGCGTGCTGTGCATGGGTAAGCACCAATCGCACCAATCAGCGTGCACTAATTGCATGTACCACAGGCGCACCATTTCGAGGGGATCCCTACGTGGTAACCTTTGGGCTTTGCGGGAATGGCAAGCTAGTTCTTGAGCTGCATTTGCCTGATGCAGTGCGTCTTAGTTCATGCAGCTGTTCGGCCCTCGCAATAGCAATTTCCTATTTTGCAAATGTTTTTATGCAGATGGGCAATGATGCACAAGCCGTCGTCCGTCAGGAGGCGGCCAACATGCTCACTTCGCAGCTCGCAGAGATAACAGAGGACGTCATGAAGCTCGAAGCGCGATACGAGTCCTTGCAGCAGAAGCAGACACTTTTAGCAAGCTTGTACGCGAAGGTAAACTTAAGTACTGTCCTCTGCGTGCACGCGGTACTGAATGGCTGATTCACGCAACCTGCCATGCCTGCCTTGCAGTCGGAGTCCCGCATGGGACTACTCAGCCATCTGGCCAGGCTCTGCAGCGCTGCCGTGGGACACCTGCTGGATGCGCGTGATGCACATGACAACCATTCCAACCATATGCGCGAGGCTGCCCTTGCTGCCGTCCACCTGAGCAAAGAGGAAGCGGCGCTGTCAGCAGCTGAGACCAAGTGCGTACTGATCGAACTTGACAAGCAGATGGACACGTCTCTGTCAACCTTTGGCTTCATTACCGCATCTAGGTTGCAGTTGCCTTTAGGGATGAAGCGTTTATGTCGTCTTGCATGCATAGCTGGCTACGATGCAAATAATTGGTGCCAGGAGCGCACTTCTGACGGTTGGCTGTTCACACCTTGCTCACAAGCGTGCGGTCGGCCCCTATGTGAAGGGTACAAGAACTGCGGGAGTCTCTGGAGCAGCTCACCGCCGATAGAAAAGCTGCGGAAGAGGGCCATGCGGATGACGAGGCTGAGGACCAGGACAAGTTGCAGCGAGCAATCAACATGGCGCAAGCCGAGCTGATGTTGGCGCATCGGCAGCGGGCTGAAGCGGACAAGCAGGTGCTCGCGATCCGGGTCCGTGTAGCGCAAGCCGAGTTAGCCATGCAGTCAAGCCAGCTGCGCATCACAAAGGTACGTCCAGGGTAGTGAAGCTTCTGTACCTTGTCCCGGGACGCTTTCCATTAAACATGTCATTGTCTCCTTGTAAACCGTCGGCCTGTGCTTCCCCGGGTTTGCAGGCTCGTCAAAGGGCAGAGGACGCACAACAGCTTGTGGACAAGATACGGGCACTGCTGTGCGGCTCCACTGCACTCATCATCAACCGTGAAGCTCTCCAAGATACGACTGGCACCGCTTTGGACGCTTCACGGGCTGGCCCTGACCAAGCAACCTTTACCCAAAAGGGCGCTGCTGATCCAAGTCATCCCCACGGCATCCTAGCCGCCGTGCAGCTTCACTCCGTCACACTGCAGGCCTTGACGGAGGCCACCGCGAAATTCATACAGGCGCTGGATTGTGCTGCAACAGCAGAGCAGAGGCGCAACAATGCGTTGTCATCTTCGCAGGCTGCGCAGTCAGCCCGTGATGCAGCTGCACGGCAGCATGACGCAGCTGAGGAATTGCGTGCTGTAGCGGAGGGGATGGTTATGGTACAGCAGGCGCACCAACTGACTGGAGGGCGCATAGCTCGTGGAAATGACAAACCGAGCAGCCATGATGGGGACCGCAATTCTGACTCACGCAGTACAAGCACTGGCGGACAGTCAACGTATGCAATGTCTCAACGTGCGGTGTCTGCAGAACGGGATGCAGCAGTGATTGCCGAACTGGAGCTGGAGCGCTTGCAGCACGAGGCGGCATACCAGGAGGCATATGCCACTCAAGAGCGAAAGCTGGTAAGTTGCAGCCTTGTACATAACTCTTGCTGTTGAGGAACATCGTGGGGCTTATGCAGCTCCGCACGTTTCCATGCTAACCCGGGCGGAAGCCTATATGCCTTGGAGTAGGCCTGCGTCCCGCATGGGACGATAATCGCAAGTGTGAAGATGACCAGCACAACCAGCCCGTGGTCTTGTAATCCTAGGCACAATGATCCATCATTCTTCTGTAATCCCTGCCACCGCGCAGGCTGCTTGTTTCCTGCAACAGCAGAAGCTCCTGCGCCTTGCTGGCGAGAGCTTGCTGGACATGGCGCGCTTCGGCGTTGCAGCAGAACTTAACGCTGGTCCAAACATGACAGCTGATGAGGCATCCACGTTGCTGTCGGCCTGCAAGCACCTTGCGGAGCAGCACAGTGCCACCCTCCTGCTGGGCCCCGCATTTGATAACTGCAAGCATGCCGAAGATTATTTCAAGGCCACTCTTGAATGTGTGCACGAGGCCAAAGACCTACGCAGGAAAGCGATCAGTGGCCGTCTTGGTGTCCTCCAAGCACGCAGGGCATCATACCTGCAGGAATCGAATCCGGCTCTGCGGGCGCTGGTGCACAGCACTCGGAGTCCCCGGGAAAACGGGTCGGCCGGACCACGAGGGCCGCCTGAGTCTGCAATGCTGCCACCAAGCCCTGGGGAAGACGAGGAGGCGAAATCCGCGACGCAGTTGGCAGAATATAACCAGCTCTTGGCGGATGAAGAACGGATGCTGATGCAGGTCCAGGAGCTGGACAATGCAGCAACGGCTCTCCTTGAGGAAAGCAACTCGAAAGCGATGACATTTGCAACGAGGTGGAGCGAGGTCATTCGCCCTGTCCAGGCATTGTATCGATTGCACTGTGCGCTTGCAGCAGGAGATACATCTTGCGCTGCAGACTCGGGAAATGTCCCTAAGGATGCATCATCTCCGGAGTCCAAGGAAACGGACGCCTCACTCTGTGGCGTCCTACCCGATGACTGCAACACGCTCCCATCACCGGCCGCTCTACCTTCGAGTGCACGTCTGCAATCCCACGGTGGTATGCATCATGCCATGTCAGCAGGGGCGGAGGGTTTCGTGGGGGAATTAAGCCTAAGGCTTATGGGGCCTATCGCAGGCCTGAGAGACGTCGATGGGCAAAGCAGGGCTGGCAATGCATGTGCTTCGGCGCAGCCCAACCTAAGCGCTCTTCGACAAGCGGATGCTACTAAAGCGGGAACAAAGCTGAACAAAGACGGAGCCGGGTGTGGCGAAAACGACGCGGAGCTTGTGATCATGGCGGCAGAGACTGTGGCCCGAGCAAAGGCTGCAGCTGCGGCTCTGGCGGCGAAGGCAGCATTAAACTTTGGGGATCATCACCTTCCGGATCAAAGACAAGCTGAGGTCATTCTGCGCCAGGCCTCTGGTCCCAGTCGAAATGAACCTCATGCCGTCCAGACGTATGGGCATAAGATAACATCGCTTTTGGCTAGGAAGGCAGGTCAGGCTAGCCATGGGACTTCCCGACAGCTTTGTGCTTCCGGATCCAGAAGGGATGCGGTGGCCCAAGCACCAGATGTGCAGGTAAATGCCACAGCCACTGCAGCAACGGGGTCCATCTCACCCAGTAAAGCTCCAGACCTGGAGATCGACGATCGCGGTAATAAAATCACGTGGCCTGCAATCGGCGGCGAGTCCTCAAACGAAACCCTTTCGAGCAGCCTGCCATCATTCCATGGCAACACAGTCGATAGGGCTACAGGCGACGTTCGATTAAGTGCTGGCGGAATGCATCAGCAGGAGCTTCCCAGCCACACGACTGAAAGTTTCCAGCTCTCCAAGCAGATGCCCAACTCGGAATCTGATCGCAATACGCCACGTCTCGGTTTGAGCAGTATGCCAGCGATTGTGTCCGATTCGCCGGCATCTTCTCCAGGCAAGGGAAATGTAGCCTTGCCCCAGCTACTTCGGGTCCAACTTCCTGATAACCTAGACCCAGCAACGGCGGCCGTCTTGCAGAGGTTGTGGTCCACTGCAGCACTGCACTACCAGCGCGCCCAGCACATGCATGACCGCTCGTTACAGCAGTCGGAACGACAGTGGCAACAGTGCCGCGCGCAACTTCAGATGCTGCAGGCGGAGGAGCTAAAGGCGCGCTCTGGCGGACGGCTCTCCGAGGCGGGTACGTTGGCAGCAGCGCTGGCCAAATGGCAGCAGCGCCGAGGCCACCTGAATGCGGCCATGCGGCGCCACCGCAAGGAGTTCGCGCGCTACAAGGCCCTCGCGTACCGTGCAACAAATATGGTTGAGCGGCTGCAGCTGACTGCCATGCCTGGAGGCACGGGTTCAGCATCTTTTGCCATGCCGCAACCTGACGAGGCGCTGGAGCAGCTGTTGCCGCGTCTTTCCGGATCCATGCTTGCGGGTTGCGGTGCAATGCAATCCCTGGAGCGACTGCATGGCGAGCTTGTGCAGCAGGTGGCGGCTTTGCATGCGACAGTGGCCGGGCTGCAGCAGCAAAGCCAGCGCCTATTCGGCAAGGCGTCGAGGCGTAGCAACAAGCTGAAGGTGCGTTGTCCGTGACCTACAAACGTGCCTATGGAAAATAAAAAGCACGTCCTCAAGCTCGCACTTTCAGGGAGCTGGCTCCTGAATTTCTTCCTCCATGTTGTGTTCAAAATACGAAGTCATGAATATTGATATTGGCTCGCCGCTGTGAGGGATCCTTTGTTTTGCTACCGCTCTCCTTAACTCGCAGGTCCAGCTGGGCAGTGCCAAAGACACGGCTGCGCACGCCGTAGCCCTCGCGAAGTCGCAATCGGCTGCTGAGCAGTCGGCTGCTCTGGGTGAGCGAGCGGTCGAGCTTGCGACACACGCGCGAACAGTACAGGAGCATGCTGCACGGCTGTCGGGCGAGAGCGCGAACTGCTTGCAAGTCCTGGAACGCCTGCAACATGCGTGTGATATGGAACTCCAGGCTCAGCATGCGCTGGTGCAAGCCGTGGACCTCCTTTTGTGTGAGGCAATGCAGGCTGTGCTTCGTGGGGAGAGGGGTCCAGGCATTGGCTTGGCGCCTCTTGGCAGGTCCGTGGGGGATGCCACAGCTCCGGAATTGCCGGCACAGTCAGAGGCCCTAACAGGGGACTTCGACAGCCTGCTGCAAGCCCGGCATCCATCAGGCGATTACTTATCAGCCGCACGTGCACATTCGCGGCGTGGTGAAGACGTGGCCCAGGATGCGGCCCGAGCAGTGCAGGTAGCTAAGGAGCAGCTGGAGCAGCAAATGGGCCCATTTGCCCGCCAAATGGACGATGCGGCCACGGCTTTGGCTGCAATCTCATCAGCGCGGACAGCCCAGTGCGACAACCTGCGAACAAGAGTGAGTACTGGCGTGTATCGGTTCTGCATGGTGCACGTGTCACACGGGTTATAGCCCCCATCTGGCTCGTAGATGTGACCTTAAGCTTGTTCCTGTGGCGCAGGCTGATGCAGCGGCAGTGTGTGTTGCCCGTGCCCGCTCCAAGTTGGCTGCGCAGCGGGCTGCACGCGATTCAGCGGCTGCAGAGAAGTACAGTCGAGCAGCCGAGGGTTGGGCAAAGCAAGCAGAAAAGCTGAGGAAGGAGGCGTTGGTCACATCCGCAGCTGCCGAGGAAATGGGTAGCAGGGGCCAGGCCATTGCAAGGCTTGGAGCGCGCCTGCGGCCGATCCAGGAGGCCTTGGACGAGTACTTGGACCAGCAGCTTGAAGCCTGGGCTGCTGCTGCGCTCTCTCGTATCCAAGCTTGCGGATTGAGGGGATAGCCGCAGATGGTGGCCAGATAAAACTGCATCTCTTTTGGTGCCGGGTCAGCAAGCTGTGGTTTAGCAATAACGCAATACCAGCTCTTGTCAGCTCATAGATTGTACATCCTTATCATTACAGGTTTATTGATGCATAGGCAAGTTATTGATTGATTGTGACATGGTTAGCCAACATGGCCTAACGTGGCTACAAACGTCCATATGCATCCCCCTTGTCCATTATTGATTCAGACTTTCCTACCTGTCCATTTCGTTTGGACTGTCCAAGTAAAGTGTAGAGCTCATGGTAAGCAGTGCCACTGTTGAGGTGACGCCACGATGTCGCGCGGGTATCTAGTATACCGGGAAGCGTCGGGAAGCGAGTGGCTTTCGGGCTATCCTTTCTAGCGTATATGTAAATACACCCATGAGCTTCGGCATGCGCCGGTGAGCTTCTGTACAGATGGAATTCACACGTGCGAGCATCAGTAACACGACTTCTCAATACGGAGATACACCTTTCCGTCTTGTCCATGATCATTAAAGGGCCCACTAATGTCCAGGAATTTTCATGAAGTGGTGTCCGAGGGACACGGGCATTCGACAAGCTGGGCAAAGAACACGGTGCAGTAACCGAAAGCATGGGTGTCAGATCATAAGTGTAGCAGCCGGTACACAGTACGGCACTATAAATACGCGGGTAGCGCGACCACCAGCATCTCGAGAGGCCTTTTCAGCGGCCAGCTGCTACAATAAGCAAGAAGCTGATTTCGCATGGCCGCAGCATGGCCTTTCATTGAAGCCCAGCCAACCACTAACTAATGGATGCGTGCCAGTCCGGACCAATCACACAAGGCAATCGTCATCATGTCTGTCAGGTAAGGCCTCCCGTTCAGTTTTGGCATGGCGAAACGGTGCACATACCGTGCTCTGCACCTATAAAACTCAGTTGCCCCTTAGTCGAGAAGCAGCGCTAGTTCGGGTGTGACTGGAAAGAAATCCACGGTTTTAGCCTGCATCCGAAGCCACGTAAACGTACAAATGAAATACATGAAGCATATAACTCAGTAGGAAACCTCAACCCGGCCCCGAGCCCTAGCTAATCCGCAACAGAAGCTTCACGGCGAGGGGAACAATCTCAGGTGCGTATGGTCCAGGAGATATATCCAGCTTTGTACAGTTTAAATGCACTACAATGCATGTGTAATATCAGTTCGCCGACTTCAGGGTATTATCCCTGGACAGTGATGGTTGGCTGGGGAGGACCCACATCCGCTTCCCCACCCGAGCCTTCCAGCCTTGCCATCCCCGCAGCCCCGTCCCGTTGCTGCTGCTGTTGCTGCTCCTGCGGCCCTGAGACTTCATTAGTACTTGTAACGTTGTCAGTCCCGCGGACAAGAGCGTTATGGCCGTCGCTCGATGTACCAACCTGCAGGACTAATGCTGCACCCTGCCCTTGGACCCCATCCAGAACCGCAGGCGGTGAAACAGAGCCGCCTGTTGGGCGGGTACCATCCACAGGGCTTGGCCCCGCCTCGACTGCAAGGTCGGCGTCCCCGACAAGCTCGTTGCGTGCGGTTAGGTAATCAAACGCTGCCTCGCACTGCAGGGTCGTTCCGCAGCTCTCGGCGACAGCCTGACACACTGCCCGTGCGCGCTTCAGTGCCTCGACGGATTTAGCCTTGCTGCTAGCGCAGCTCTCGCCGTTGTTCCGCTGCGCCTCAGCAAGGTGCTGGTACATGCGCGCTACTGACAGCCAGGCCTTCCCCACCTGCACAGCACCATCACCGCGCCACCAGAACAGCACAGGTGCTTTTATGTTGTTTTGGCAGGCTGCGGAAACTTATGTAAGGCAGACGGCCAGGAGTACCTGAGAATCCTAGTGAACACCACACGGACGCTGACACCATACCTGGGGATGCGTGTTGCCCAGCTTTGATTCGAGCCGTTCGACCACCTTCTGGACCCGAGTGATCTCCGTCAGCTCGTGTTCGACCTGAGCGGGTGTTAGACAAGGAGGCCACGTCTGGCCGCCCGGCGTATTGCCTGCCGGCACTGTGCCGGCAGCGTTCACAGCACCGCCTGGCCCTGACACCTGACCGGGTGGTCGGAGTGATTGATGTAGCGGGGCGCTACTCGGTCCCAAGATGCCCACCTGTCCAGAGAAGCTCACGCGACGGCCCACCGGCCGTGATGAGGCAGGACCAGTATCCACCTGTGGTCAGGAACCCACAGTCCAAAAGTATCATTATAATCAGGCGTACATTTCGAGACATGCTTAAGGCCAAACATGTGATCATAGAAATCCCCATCAGACTCGCGGCACCACGAAGCGGCAAGCCCGCCATAGGTACCGACGCAGGATCCCCACGTTAGCAATGCTGCTTTATCCTCCCCTCAAAAGGTCATCACGATTTCATCACTAATAACATGATGTTCGCAGATACCCCCTCTTCCTGTGAAGCACACGCCATGAGATCCCAGATGCTTACTTTGACTTCACTGCTAAATGGGGAAGGGAAGTAGTAGCTGATGAAACTGCTACCCAAGAGCAAAATCACGGGATATTTCGGGCAGGGTCGAGCCCGGTAAGGAGGCAGGCCCAACGGGTATCGAGCTGTCCCACAAATGCCTATAGCTAGCTCCCTCGCTCCCGTCTGGGACGGCAGGCATACGGCGCTTCAACGGCCAGGGGCAATGCAAGCCCCTGACGTTGTAACAATCGTAATCATCCATCCATGGGCCCCGGTTTATTGCACCCCGCGCGCAGTTACAACGCCCGTAACCTGGATACGCTACATGGACAGCCAACCCACCTTGAGGTTACCGCGCCCTGATTGGCCAGTGCCTCCCGTATGCGGCCGGAGTGGTGTCAATTGCTGCCCAGTTGGAGTGATGATCGTGGTCTGCATCAGCTCCGAGGGCGCACCGCCCGGCAGCTGAACGTGCAGTAATGCTGCCGTGTCGAGCTGACCGACAGCAGCCGCCGATGGCGATGCGAGGGCCGGTGGGAGGGTCACGAGCACTGGCGCCTGGCGCAGCACCATCGCCTGCTGGCCGTTGGCTGTAGTGACGGGAGAGGCTTGAAGCAAGATGGCAGGAGTTGTCTCCCCCTGCAGGTTTCCAAGGAACACGGACATAGCTTTACATTCCTCTGCACCTGGAGTGCATTTGGAAGATGCCTTGCTTTAGTACAGAATCGAGGGCCGTCCTCTTCACCCTTTTGTCCTGTCAACATTAAGCTGAACACAGGCCGCACGGGTGCTAGATCCCGAAGAAAGCTCCACGATCCTGGCCTCACTGAGAACAGCGATAACGCCTGGCCCTGCCATACAGCAAGGGAGTTGTTCGCACATGGCATCGCAAGTCGAACCTAGCCATAGATTGCGCCCAATTAAGCTTACGTACTACATTATAAGCGCACACGCAGCCGCTGTCTAAAGGCCTGCCCAACCAACAGCCCTCTGCCCCTGGCAGGCACATGGGCCACACCTGCAGCATCGGGTTGTCCGTGAGCAAGGCCGTCCCTGGTGTGCCACTGTCGCGCCGGCTACCAGGTCCACCGCCCAGGTCCGGTCCGTGGGCCGGTACGTCCACGTGCAGACGAGGTCGTGCACGGCCCACCTTCCCGCCTCCCGTGCCTGCACCGTCGCCGGCCGCCAAGGCTCCTCGCCCACCGTCGCGGTCCTTCTGATGCGACTCGCGATGAGAGGTCAACTCAAAGGTGGAGGGGCTGGTAGCGATTTCATGAAGCGCCGCCAGGCTGTCCTCATAGGGCGACTTGGGCGTGATGCCTTCCACACCGCCCAGGCCACCGCCGCGGTCCGGGACGGTGATGCTAGAGGGGCGTTTCCGCTTCGCAGGGGGATGGGTAAGTTGCTCGGCAACCTGCGCCGGGGCAGAAAATCGCGGTGCCGTCACATTCCATCAAATCATCCGGCAATGCTACGCCTCTTCGGCCGGGAAGACATAAGCGTTTCAGAGCACACCTGTTTTAGAGCACAGGCCTCCCTACATGCCGAGCCTTGCCACATAATATACCGTCGCAGTGGCAGAGAACATCGCAAACCATCAAGGCAGGCAAGCCCATATGTACCTCTTTACTACCCATGGACGTCGTCATGGAGGTAAGTAGTTAAAAGGAAGCTTAAGTGGTCCTGGCGGACTTAAAATGCCATCTCGTGCTGCTCTACGCTGCTCACCAGTTCCCCCATGCTCTCACTAGCTGCCGCCTCTCCGAGCATGTGCAGCGGCGAGAGGCACTCGTCCTGTGGTGGCCCCGGCTCAGGAAACCCGCCTCCGCTGCGCAACCTGCCGCCACGACGACCAGTGCCAGGTCCCGGAGACGCCGCCGGCTGTGGATGTCCCCGAGCGGAACCCTGCAGCAGAACACGCCAGTTTGAATAGTGGATAAAGCCGGGGCGAAAGTCTATGCTGCGCCTTCGCCGCTGACCATGCACTGCCATAAAATGGTCCAGCCCAAGTTCCCAGAGCAGCCGTTACAACACAAAGTAAGCGTGTAAAACTCGACACCAGGCCGATTTTACACTTATCCCAAGCTCCAGCTTCGCGCAGGGCATTGCTGGCGGCAGGCTCCCAAAAGGACCTATGCCAACCTACCACGTCCTTTACATGACGCTGCTCATCCAAACCAGCTCCACCACCGCCTAACTCTTCGTACCCAACTCGCCGATCGCTGCCCTGCTCTTCCTGACCCTCATCCGCCGCTCCATCGTCTCCACCATCGCCCTCCTCATCCATGTCAACGTCCTCCCCTTCACCCATCGCCTCATCCACATCCTCGTCCTCCCCGTGGCCGGCCATCCCTGCTGCAGAGCCGCCCGCGTGCGCTGCTGCAGAGCCGCCCGGGTACGCGCGGCCCCCCGCCATAACCATGTCGTCGTCATCGTCCTCGAGCATGTCGTCGTCCTCCGCGTCGCTGGAGGCAGAACGCCAGGAGCGCGACGCCCGCGACTTGGATGACCGACCCGGCCCAGTGCGCACCTGTGCGCAGGAGGGCCCGCGGGTGAGGCCACAGCTAGCAAATGAGATCATTGGGCACGGGTGTTAGACAGACCACACCAGCACCCAAGTACTGAAAAACACCAGAAGCAGGGCCGAAAACTTCCAGGCGAAGTGTGTGGCTTCGCTGCATCGTGCTGGCTACATGAGCTTGGGCTCTATCAGCTGTCTAGGAAACGAAAGAAGCACTGCGGTGGCGAGAGGCACCCTGGGCCAGCTGGTGGCTATAATTATGATGCCGTATAGGCAGGGCCTTCCTGTAGCAGGTATTCCAGACATATACGGCCTCAGGAATATTCGCGTGAATTGGCTCAACCGAACCGAATCTCTAGCTGGCCGGCATGGCATGCTGTACTGCAGAAAATCGGCTGTGATGGCATAACAGAACTGATGCCAGCTCTCGCCAGTCTGATGCCAGGGGCGTGCGCACCCAGCTCCCTAGCCGCAGGATCCTTACCCCTTGACGCCCTGCTTTTGACGCAGAGGCTGCTGCAGACGGGCCCCCCTGGTGTGCGCCGGTGTTGTTTCGACGCTTAAAAGGCGCCAAGCCAAGCCCATCAGGTGGACCAACCCAGCCTTCCGGGTAATAGCGCTCTTCAAGCCACTCCCGCAACCCAAAGAGTCCTTCCTGCGGCCTGCAGGGTGCCAGCAGCAAAGAACCTGAGGGCCCGTAATGCATATGCATTCCTGAATACCAGCTAAAGCATCTTACCTTGTGAATAACGATTTGTGAAGCTTCCGTTTCACGTCCGTGTACAGGGCTGATGCCATAGTTGCCTCGGGCGTCTTGCCCTGGCACTTAAGGAGCCCCATTTCAACCGCAAGTCTGCGGTCGTGACAACGCAAAGGACTTAAATAAGGAGCAATAACGATTAGACGATTCGTTATCAGGCGTCCCCAAGATACAACTTGAATATAGTGTGTTCCTTCAACCGGCCCCCACTCAACTCGCGGCCCGTGGGCCCGTCCTTCACAGGACACCCCTTAAGTCGGACGGCACAGGGACGAGCTCAAGTATACCTGGTAATATCTCCTGTTGTCATCAGCTTACGATGCTGGCGGAGCACGGCGACGGCTGCGGACTTAAAGATGCCTCCTCCTCCGGAGACCGGACCAGCTCCAGGCCGGGCCACCTTTTCATCCTAGTAGATAAGTGCGACGAACATGGGGCCTCAGATTAGCGCTCGCAAAGCATATTCTGCAAATGAACGCGGGGCCCACCATTGACCCTTTCCTTCAGTATTCCATACCTCGCTGCGCTCTGCAGCTCTGGAGCGTAAAGCACGCTTAGCTCGCCTGAATAGCAGCGATGCACTCCGTTGCCGGGACTTTGATGAAAGCCAAGATGCCACATTGATTACCTGTCGTCCATAATGTCACCCCACTTTGTCGTGCCAGCAGTTTTAAAAGCACAAGATAATGGCTTTTTAATAAGTGTTTGTTAAGGGAATTCACCGACGATGCGTCTTCCTATCAACCAAGGATACCTCCGTCTGTATTTTTTTATTAACTAAGGAAAATAGTCCGCATGGACTCAGAAGCAAATACAAGTATGGAACTACACTACTTAAAATCAACGTGTACGGGTACGCTGTCAGCACCAGAAGAATGCTAAGCATGGCACCCAGTCTCCTAAGATTTAATACAAACCGTGATGCATTGCCGTCCTTGGGATATCTAAAAATCTAAAGCTGATTGAGTCGTCGGCAAAAGGCAAACTGAGTTTCTTCCTCAACTCTCTCGTGAATGTTGGCAGCTCATCCGGGAAGCTTTTTTTGCTACGTTCCAAAGTGAGGATCCATACATATGCACATATATGCATATACGCCACGTCCTTTCTTTTAGGGCTAGCCAACATCAATTGCGTGCTACTCCCTTCAGGACACCAACACTCCTTGGGACCTTACTTGGCGCAAGAGCACATAACGAGCAAGCTGTGAACGAGCGTTTGGATCGGTACGCCGGGACTCTCACGGTGGATTTTTCTTGATCAGCTCCACAAGCTTGGAAACTAGGCAGATGTCACATTGTGAAGCTGGAGGAATAAATTTACCCACCCTTGACACGTGATGCTGTCGCGGCCCTAGGGTCGGTCATGGTTGCTTTATTATTGCAGTCATCCACCTGCCTCAGTTCCACGCTTGCGAAAGAAACTGCAACACGATGCCCACAGGTACGCGGAGGCTACGGCACGTAGAGGCCAAGCTCGGCAGGTGTCGTCCAATCCCGCAACGCAGGTCCAAAAGTTTGTCTACCCTGGAGGTAAGGTAACAGCTTGGACCTATGGAATACCGATAGCATATGAAGTCTACGTCTTTTGATGGCAGGCGGCGTCACTGTCCAACCCGGCATCGTGCCCTTAACCGATGAACTCGTGCGGGTTACGCCGTACGTGCAGCAAAGCAAAGACACGGTGCTCGTGTTTTTTGGAGCTCTGAGCAATTTGCACGGTAAGGCCAAGGCGGGAATGCTTTCTCATAAACCTCGCCTCCACCTGCCGCATGCAGCATTGTAGCATCAACACAGGCTTACCAACAGCATTTTCCTGCCGGGTGTTCCCCGTGCGTACGTCAGATCTACTGACAAGGAGTCGACCGGGTAGCGGTGTGGCCGCACCAGAGGGCGCTGGGACAGGTGCCTTGACAACAGCGTGCATCCTGGACCTGTATAAAAGTTTCGACAGTGGGCGAGAACTTCTCATGTTGTCTGAGCTACAGGTGCGTTTTCTTTCAGGTGGTCTGTTTAAAACGAGCTTAACGTGGCTCACAGGCACTGTCCAAAGCGACACTGCTTGTGCCAAAGATTCGGAGGACAATCGATCAGTCCGCTTTCTATCACTTATTGGTTCCATGTTGTGCGGCAAGATGGTGTATCTCACCACGGCACTGTGCCATGTGTTGTTCCTCTGTTGTCCTTCTCCCTTTGGTGTTGCTGCAGGGGCAGTACTCGTTTGTGCTATATGACAGTAGTAAAAAGCAGGCCTTCGCGGCAAGAGACCCCTCTGGTGCAGAGCCGCTTTACTACAAGGTTGACGAGGACGGTGGCGTCCAGTACACAAACTCGCTGGAGCACCTCCACCGCAGCGACGCTGAGCGGCGTTCGTGGAAGGAGCTGAAGCCGGGACACTACATGCTGGGCAAGACCGTGGCGCAATTTGCGTTGAGCCTAAGGCAACTGGAGAAGCGCGAGAAGAAGGAGTCGCTGGATGCGGATGCGTTGCACATGTTGCTGCAACGGGAGAGCCAGGCGGAGGAAGAGGAGCGCGGAGCTTTCAGTGCGCTGGCCCCAGTACGCTCACTCCTGCGGAACCGCAGTAAATGACCCAGTCGTAGTTCTCTAATAAGCGCATGGCCAGGTAACACAGCTACTTAGTATCGTAGCATAGTTTGCTTGAGTCGTGGTTCTTCAGCTCAGGCAAAAAATCAATGCGTTGAAGGACGGTTTCCAGCCCTGTCACACGTATAGAGGCCACGTTCCGGTGCGGGCGTCCGATATGCCTTGTTGGGTGGCATGACTTGCGAGCAATCCTCCGCAGTGTTGTTATTGATATGGGTGAGGATTTTGCCTGCCTGTTCTGTTTGCTGACGCTCTGTCCGCATGTGTCAGATTTGGTTGGTTCTTGCAGGTTTTTGTACGATAGCTCGTGCACTCCGCTGTGCATGAAATGTTGTGATTTATTTATGGGTTAGCGCCGCAAGAATTTTAATTCTTGTGAGGCCGACCTCCTGGACTGCATGAACTGCTGCTTGCGGCACTGTTGGACATGCATCGGTATCGGCCCTGCTGCCCATGTTGTTTTCAGTTGTTGAGCTGGGACTATCTGCTTCTTTGGTCGCTATAATCCACCATGCATAAGCCTTGTGAAGGTGCAGTCGTGAGCGTGGCAAATGGCAACAGCCAGAGAACAAAAAGCTCCTGAAGTCTGTTGGATGGCTGAGTTGCTGGGTTGGATGTGTGTTTTGTTGAAATTTGGGTGGGCACCTTCCTGGTTGGCGTGGCATCCTTACTGCGTTAAACACGAATGGACTGCGCGTCTTTCGTCCACGTAGCGGAACACACGTGGTTACTTGATAATGTGGGGGCATCGCACTGACCTTGTCAGCCCCGGAACGGCTCTTCGATGTGAAATCAGCTCATGTTTGGCAGTGTCCATGGTATCAAGTTGTGCATCAAGCGCCCACACGCATGGGATGTAAATGCTCGACTTGTTCCAGCACGGACGAAGGATGGCACTAAACGAATGGAGCATGTTGTTACAGCTTTACCAGCGGCCCCCTTTCCCGAGGCAGTTCCCTGCTCTCCCCTGAGGGGCACCCTAATCCATTCACCCCATCCGACTTCAGAATGTATTCGTTGGGCTCAGCAACAGCGCCACAACTTAGTTCCTGGTCAGCTCGCAAATTGCTATAATCACGTCCTACACCGTCAACAAGCTGGGGTCCCGATTCAACACCCCTTACACACCGAGCGTCGGCAGGCGGATTTGAAACCCCGGGGCAGAAGTCAGGCCTTAACTTCTGCCAGCCACCTGCCAGCAGTATGTATGCTCACTTCAACGCCGCGGCCGTGCGTCTGCCCAGAATAAGTAAATGGATAACACGAGCTGAAGAATTTCCTTTATAAATTAGATCAGTTGCGGAAGCAGGCCTTTAAAGTGAGATAGCATGTGTTTTGGTAGCCTAACCTTATAAATTGCAATCCTCTTTTTGAGATACAAAGGGGGGACACTCGCTGAATAGTATAGGATGTGACATAGAACAAGTGGGGTGGGCTATACGACTTCAGCGATATCGGCTGGTGTCCTGGACTACAAGAAGACCAATGCACGACGACGCACAGACCTCTACAGACTATATTTTTGCGCGGGGCCCCAGCGCGAAGCGCCCAGGGGGGCCCCGACCTGTAGGATTGCCCATGTCCGTGTGTGTGTGTGTGTGTGTGTGTGTGTGTGTGTGTGTGTGTGCGTGCGTGCGTGCGTGCGGGGGGGGGGTGCGTGCGTGCGTGCGTGCGTGCGTGCGTGCGTGCGTGCGTGCGTGCGTGCGTGCGTGCGTGCGTGCGTGCGTGCGTGCGTGCGTGTGTGTGTGTGTGTGTGTGTGTGTGTGTGTGTGTGTGTGTGTGTGTGTGTGTGTGTGTGTGTGTTACTATACAGCATTCTCTATTGCAAGGTATCTCGCATGTAGCCAACAAAAATCGTATGAGCACAAACAAGTTTGGCTGCCTCAATTGACCGAGGCCAAAGTCACATCAACGCCTCTCGCGCTAAATTTCATCCCGAAAGGTACCGCGTATCTCATATTTGAATTCTTAGATGACGGCGTATGATAACTCGAACACCCAGCTTGTGTTACCATTTGCCGGCATGGGCAATCCGACTTGCCACCAGCAGGCCAACATAATTTGCTTTCATTTCTCTATGAAATACACAAGCTGCTTGTTTGTACATTTACTTTGGCCAATGCACGGGGCCTCCGAAGAGTTGCGGTGTGCCCCGATGAAGCCGCGGCTGTGGGGCGGATTGCTGAGGCCGCTGGCGCTTCGGGGAAAAACATCACAGACAACACCGAAATTCCCCCAGCTTTCGTTACCATTTGCCTGCACGGGCATTCCGACTTGCGGTCTGCCGCACTGTCCATGCGGCATGCACCCGGGATGGATGCGATTCGCGTGAAGCCCGCAGGCGGTGCTGACGATTCCGCCGGTGCAAGCTTAGCTCTCACACCATCAGCACTGCTGCAACAAAGCACATCTCCCACCGCGTTGACACTACCCATCAATTGTCACACGTGCCGCGCTAGCTACCGGCCTGTACGGATGCAGGGGGGCCCCGCCCTTTTTCCGGCTTCGAGGAAGCCGAAACCCGACTTGTCTGCACCGCTTCCGTGTATTGTAACCCCGGCTGCAGCATGCCCTTGTATGCTTCCTAATTCACGTCTTAGGAATCCCAGCAAGGCACGGGGCCTGGCCCTTAAATCCAACTCTCTTTTACTCATATCTGGGCAATTACCTGGATATATCCTATCATGGAGCTACATCAATCCTAGTAACACAGTAAAATGTGGGACTTCATCGATATGGCGTAGCCTCTTGTTTATATCATAGGAAGTATTTTGGTATTATGTACTTGCCACGTGCTTGTCGGCAGCAATCTTAATACATCGATACCGTTGAGGATTATTAGTAAGTAGATAGATTCTCCAGTCAGCACACGGCAATTGCCACCGCATCCGCTCTGACGTTATTCCTCCACGAACACGTGAGCATCGCCGGGACGACCCGATGGACACCTCCGCCGCCCTAGTCCGCCTACCCCAGGGCACCCGCACCATCAACGTTCCCGCCTCGATCCGTCAACAACGTCAGGACGCGGGCCGGTGCCTGCAGTGCGGCTCGGAGGGCCACGACAAGCTTTCGTGCCCGGAACTCATTCACCTGGTACGCCGGCTGTCTATCAGGTCTCCTTCGCCCTTTCGTGGACGCCCCCGCCCCACCGACCGCTCGCCCTTTCGCCCCACCGACCGCTCGCCCTTTCGCCCCACCACCTCCCGTACCGCAAGCCGCTCTCCCTCCCGCTCCCCCTCCCGCTCCCCGGCCCGCACCGACTACTCCAATCGCCAACGTCAGGACCACGACCGCGGACGCACCTTTCCTTCCCGCTCAAACAGCCCCCACCCGCGTCGCGATGGTCAGCACCGTCGCG